TCCATCCAGATGAAGTCCTTCTATTCGAGAAACTGCACGTATCACTATCAATATCCAAGTTCCTTTGAAACAGCAAGCTCTTTAAAAGATATGCAGTATCATCCCACACTTTCTTACTCTGCCATGTAGATAACATTAAATTTTTGATTCTGTATAAGCTTTTCTTTGCCATGAAGCAGTCCTCCTAACTTCATATTCTTGCTCTGCATAGTTTATAAGAGACACTTGGTGACTATTTGGAAAACATGAACATTTGGGCTAAGTTGTGGTTTTGGCAATGGTTGTGTATTACTTCAGTTCTAAATTCTCCATTAATAGTTCTACATCAGAATAACAAAAACATGTAGCGATTTCTGACATCTGGAGCTTCTATGTTTTCTTCAAAATGCATTGGGGGAAGGAGGTAGGTAGACTTTCAGAACTCTGTTAGTGGCTTAATAGGAAATGGTGGTCAACCTTAACAGGTACTAATTTTGAAAACCTTTCCTTTGTGGAGACTGCAGTGGGTGCCAAACATGAAGCAATGTTTTAAAAATGCAAGCTTCATCCAAAGGGAGAAATGGTTTTTCAGCCTTGAAGCTCCTCAGGGGACTGTTTTCAAAAGTGTATTTGTGGTCTGAGTATGAGACTTCCCAGAAAGCAAACTTAATGAAATGCAGAATATTAATTCAATGCAGAAATGAAGTGGAATGGCTTCATTTTCCTTCCAGGGGATTTGCTAAAAGACTACAAGGGTGTAGATCAGCAGAGTGATCAACAGGGGAGCCATTTACATCTCCAGAGTTTAGGATTTTGCAACATCTTATTAGAATTTGGTGAGTTGAAGATTGCTTTAAAAAAAAGTTTTCTCATGGCTAACTTGGGCCATTTCGCACATAAGGATTAACTGTAGGATCCAAATTGGCTGCAACATCTTTACATTAATCCTGTAGAAGAATTCCCCCTCTTTTTCTTTTTACTCCTGCTTTAGGTTCTTTGCTACAGTTTAGAATAGTGGTTCTCAACCTGTGGGTCCCCAGGTGTTTTGGCCTACAACTCCCAGAAATCCCATCCAGTCTACCAGCTATTAGGATTTCTGGGAGTTGAAGGCCAAAACATCTGGGGACCCACAGGTTGAGAACCACTGGAGAATGTTCTTCAACCAGGATTTGATCAACGCAAGATCAGACTGGAGGGAATTTGTGTATGGCAGTAAGTGGATCAGTAGATCAGTAGCTAAATCCCGATTCCTTTTTCAAAAAAAAAATCATTTACATCAACGTACATTTATTTAATAGTGAAAAAAATCCAGGTTAAATACACATATAGAAAGAAAATGAACAGCCGAACAAGAATCTAAATATAAATTATAGTACAGGATTCAGCTTGATCACAGGTTCTATATTTCACTTTAATGCCAGAAAGTCTAAGTATATTCCATTTACCTCATCACACTAGAGAATGAATCCACTTTAAATCTGGTTTGTGCCTCCTGCAGAATTCTAGGGTTTGTAGTTTAGTGAGGCTGTTAAAGGCTCCTCTCTAAACTACAAACCCCAGGATTCTGCAGGAGACACAAACCAGATTTAAAGTGGATTCATTCTCTAGTGTGACGAGGTCTTATGTTTGTTTTTTAGGTGTAATATAGATAAAATTGATTAAAAATGTTGTTCTGGAGGTTTGATTGGCATGGTTTCAAATATTGTATATACAATCAATGTATTCCAGATTGAAGTAATTTGTGCTTCTATCTGATACATTAGTTTTTCCACAAGAGGAATGGGCCCTATCCTTTTTATCAAACAGGAACAATAAATCTCACTTGCACGTTTCCAATGCGTAGCTACTATCAAAAGAATTGAAAGTAATATTTGAGGGAATAATTAGGTCCTTTAAATGTGGACAGAAGAAGAGCCTCACAATAAAGCACTTTTTGATTCTACATACCTGACTGTAATTTTAGGACATCAGTCCATTTATATATATCTCCTTGTACCCACATACTAATTGTCATTCCCTTAGTCCTCTGTACCTGTTGGAGCCCCCGGTGGCGCAGTGGGTTAAACCCCTGTGCCGTCAGGACTCAAGACCGACAAATCTGGGGAGAGGCGGATGAGCTCCCTCTAACAGCTCCAGCTCTTCATGCGGGGACATGAGAGAAACCTCCCATAAGGATGATAAAAACATCAAAAATCATCCGGGCATCCCCTGGGCAACGTCCTTTGCAGACGGCCAATTCTCTCACACCAGAAGTGACTTGCAGTTTCTCAAGTCGCTCCTGACACGACCAAAAAAAATATACCTGTTGTGTAATGGTTTATAAAAAATGTTCTCTCTACTGATTCCTTAACTGTGGCTACTTGTATCTGTATTAGTTAAAAGTTTGAACATAATAGAAAAATTCTGTCTACTGAAAGGGTCTAAAAAGGAGAGGCAGTGAAATTTTTAAATAACCCTTAAATATTGGTTATTGTATGTTTTCCACAAACGCCACTACCAACTTTTTCGCCCATGCGAAAAATTTTCAATTTCCATTTTACATTTGGCCTTCCCACAGTTTTAATTGTGTGTTGTCCTATTGTTAATGTTGCATATCTTATTGTCTATGTTTTTTCATTTTAATTGCTTGTATTGTTGTTATTATTGCGTGTATTGTTGTATTTGGGCTCGGCCTCATGTAAGCCGCATCGAGTCCCTTGGGGAGATGGTAGTGGGGTACAAATAAAGTGTTGTTGTTGTTATTATTATTATTATTATTATTAATAATAATAATAATAATAATATGGTATTTTAAGACACCCCTAGGTATTTGGTTTTCTTTGAATGTTGCAGAGTGACAATCCATAATTCGCATGGGTTCTTTTTCCACTGACAGCTCCAGAGACAATGTCTGAAATGCTGTAAATATGACAAGAGTCAGGTACAAATTGAACTTGAGTAAGCATTACGAATTCTTTATGTCTTATTATGAGGAAAACAGCCATTTTCTAATCACTTGCTAAGAGGAGGAATCTGATGCCAGTGACAAAGCAGGAAAAGCTGTATGCAGTGTTTCCACCTGCTCTTCTTGCTTCAGATGACTGATACTATTTTTTCTGCAAAGCTCAGGGGCCTTAAATGTAGCTTTCCTTACCTCCCTTCCCATCGCTGCTCACACAGTGAATGCTCTTGGGTCTTACCACCTTGTTTGCTGTAGTATTGAACTATAGTTGGAAGCAGCTTTGAGCTGGAGAGATTGGGGACCTGTTAAACTAGGAATCTGTTGTTGGAAGCGAAGAAGCATCAACACTTGTAGTGCATTGTCCACTGTATTGTTTTCACCTCTTTTTCTGAGATCTGTGTAACTCAAGGTGTTTTCCTTCTTGTCTGCATGAAAAGGCCACTTCCCCAAGAATTGTTAGTGTTTTATTACTATTTGCTTGAGAAGGGGGCACCATGAGGCTTCTCTGCCTCAAGATGGCTAACGCACACGCACAAGAATCTGCCTTAGGAACTCTTCTTCCAAAGTTAGAGAACCTTCTTTTGTCTATATACTCTTCTACCTGAGACATATTACCTGCAACAGTAAAAGTGAGTTTTTATCTTTTTAAACCTTAGTATTTTGTCTCCTGACCCTTCCCATAAGCTCATATATAGCACTGACTATGCTGCACACTAGTTTGCTATAGATCTCAAATATTCCAATGCCTGTCGTCTCTCAAGGTGGTGATGAGAATAGAAAAGAGAATGGGTAAGGCCCACCAGGTTGCAAGTTCCTGGAGCCAAGGTATTTGAAAAGTAGTGAGCAACACTAGGCTACAGTTAGTAGCATTTCAGTGAGTATTCTTCCTGGATGTATTTGCAAAGCTAGTTTAAAAACAACTGTTACGGAAATGATCTGCTGACCATCTGCTGGACTGAGGGAAGTTCAAGATTGTGTTCACTTTCTGCCATTAAACCTGCCTAGCTGTGTTAATTCATAATACGCAGATATCCAGAAAAATTGAACTAGATTGATAGCGCCAACACAAAATGGAGTAAACTTCAGCTTTCATCAGACTCCAGGTTGGTAAGTATTGGCAGGTTTGAATGCTATTGGAGGCCTTGACAAAGAAATGACAAATATGTCTTGATCTCATGGTACTTTACAGATACCTAATTGTTGCTTAATTTTAGTTGCCCAGTGATTCATCCAGGTAGTTGAAAAGCTAAAGCTCAGCAGCCAACGTGTATGAGACACACGCATATGATGAATGATATTGTTCAATGAAGGTTGCAGTATAGGTTTTCTGCCACTGCTATGGATTAGATTTGTTGTGATGATATTACTAGATTGATGGCATTGGATGCTAGACCTTCTATCAAATAACAGCTGTCTAAGGTTGGCAGCTCAAAGAAAAGCATCTGAGTTACTAGATAGCATTTCTTGTAACCTAAATGGAGCTGCTTGACTTCTGTTGGATTTCAATCAATATCTGTATACTTGTCAACAGCAAACATGGATGTATCCTTTTTCTTGTGTGGGATTGAACACAATTGAGGTCGTAAGAAGGCCTTTCCGATTATAGAAAAAAACAAAGCTTGTCTGTTCGAGCTAGTAATAGATTTACATCACTCGTGGTTATTGAATGTTGTTCTAACAATCTGTTGATATCTAATGGCTTTAATCTGTGACTTTCTGCATGCTTGCGAAGATATTCCCTGAAGCTAGATACTGTTATGTTCTGCCAGCTTGAGGAGGTTTTGCCTGTTTTAAGGTATATTACAAATATGCTGATTGCTTAAATCCAGCAAACTTACTCACCTTTTTGCAAACATCATTTTACCTTGAATCACATGTTCCATTTTATTGGCCTCCTTCATATAGAAAATATAGCATTTGATACTTGTGGTTTTTTTCTAATTTAAAAAAGCGGTATCTTCTATGTGAAAGGAAGTTTTCTGTACATTTCCCCATGTCTTTACATCATGGTAGTTTGAATAACCATGCTTCCATATTCACATCAACTTTTTTTGTTTTTGTTTTCTCAATTTATACACAGCACTTGCTCTGAAATTTGGGGACTGAGTACACCAAATACGATAGATCAGTGGGATACATCAGGCCTATACAGCTTCTCTGAACAAACCAGGTGAATATTCTGCCCTGTGTCTCGTGGTAGAGATCTGGTGGGAGGGTTTGGCTTTCGAGGGTCGGTCTTGGCGGAAATGCTTCCAGCGAGCAAAGCATTTTAAAACTAATCTTGCCTTAAGTATTCTCAGCCAATGTTTTGTAACTTTGGAAGAGCCCTCTCTCCACATTAGTGAAAAGGGGAAAATGTGGGGGTGGGGAGGGGGGGCACAGCCCACATGGAGGGGTATTTGTTTAGCAAGATTGGAGTATTAAAAACCTCTCTTCTCAAGTGTGTCTTTAAAAAGAGTTTGCACACTGTTCTTAGAATAGTTGTCTAGATATGCAATTTTAGAGTTAGAAGAACAACTTCTCTAGGCTTTTAATGTTTTTTTCCCCCCATGTCACCCTTTACTTGCATTGTGTACCGATGCCTTGTCTTTCCCATTCCATGAGTCATAAACCATCCGCATTTGTGTAGGTGTAGGCAGTCTATCTTAAAACTAGCAAAACTTTTCAACTGGTAGCAGCCAGGGGCACAAGAATGCCAAACTGATCATGATACCACAAAGCAAGCATGATGATATGTGTCTGATGCAAGCTTCATGTTGTAAGCTGGTGTGAATTGCTTGGTTATCTGACTGCTGTAACCTTCTGTGCAGTCTTGTACAACAGATGTACTTAAAGCAATAACATTATCTGTTTTAGTGTAGAGTTAGCATTAATGGTGAGCAGATTTAGGTGTAATGTACTGTTTATTTTGATATTCAGTGGTCTCTAATGTACCATATCACAGAGGGAGTCTTTCATTCAAGTGCCAGTAACAGTAGTGTATGCTTTAATGATAACACTGTCTCCTTTTATTTGGGAAGAAGATGAATGAACTATAGGAGCTCTTATAATTTATCTCTTTCCTTTTTTTTGGTGGGGGAATGTTTTCATAAGCCTAGTATTTCTGGTGATCTCAGCTTATCTTGTAAACGTCTCTGACTATTCTGGAATATTTTTCCTTCCCTTAGGTCTCTTGATGGCCGTCTGCAAGTATCCCACCGCAAAGGATTACCACATGTTATTTACTGCCGTTTGTGGCGCTGGCCTGACCTTCACAGTCATCATGAACTTAAGGCAATTGAAAACTGTGAATATGCATTTAATCTTAAAAAGGATGAAGTATGTGTAAACCCCTACCATTACCAGAGAGTGGAGACTCCAGGTAGGAAGATGACAGACTGTTGTTGGCATAAAGACATTGCCTGTACATGCGGGTGTTTTTCTTGCTTTGTTACAGATTTGAAGAGCTTGAGTGGAAATTAACCTGAATTTGAATTTTGACATTGATTTTGAAATGCATTACAGTTAGCCCTGCACGTTTGATGGTTTTAGGAGTATAAAAGTGAAAACATAGTGAATTTTTTAAAATCAAATTTTTTTATCCAAAAGAAGTTCTCTCTAGGAATCTCTAGGTTTTTCAGCATGATTGGCAGATTTGACCATAGAATCCTATTTGAAGAGATAAAATTTTAATCAAATAATCGAATAATGGAATCTGCAAAAGTTAAAACCACACATTGGGGTGGGTTGCTGTATTTATAGTACTGTTTTGGCACTTCTAAGTATAGTTTGGAAACGTCCTTGAAGATATTAAGATTGAAGCAATTACCATACATACTCGAGTATAAGCCAACCCGAATATAAGCTGAAGCACCTAATTTTACCAGAAAAAAACAGGGAAACATACTGACTCGCGTATAAGCCAAGGGTGGGAATTGCAGCAGGTACTGATAAATTTCAAAATAAAAATAGATACCACTAAAATTACATTAATTGAGACATCAGTAAGTTAAATATTTTTATAAAACTGCAATTTAAGATAAGACTTTCCAACTCTGATTAAATCATTATTCTAATCTTCTTCAATATAAATGTGCTTCCATAGCCTTCCAATAATCACCATTATTTATTTCAACTATACATTTGGGGAAAATGCTGTGTGTTTATCAATAAGAAAGACCGATGCCAAGGGAGGAGCAGAAGAAGGCATGCGCAGCGCTGAAAGAAAAGGGGAAGGTGTGCGCTGTGCATGAGAGAAGGAGAGGAAGGAAAGAGAGCTGGGTTGCTGTGCAGAGAGGTGAGGGTCCTGACATGAAGGTATGAGTCTGAAAGAAGCCTTTATTTCAGTCCCATGCCTTCCCGCCAGGACCCTTACCTGAGTATAAACTGGGGGGTGGGGGGAGGTCAGCCTTAAAAAGTATTTGGCGGTTTTCTTTGCTTCACATTGTAGATTTGGTAGAGAGGAAAATGCCTGGAAAAAATGGGAAAATCAGGAAAACTGAGGGAGTGGGGTTTGGGAAAAATGGGGGAGAAACCCCTGTTTTTTCTCCCAATTTGGCCTTTTTTCCAGGCCTTCCTATCTAAGACTGAGACCTGTTGAGATCACTGTACTGTCAGATAAATGAGGGGAATATATTATGTGATACACAACATGCATGCTTGAAGTCTCTCCCTGCCCCTTTCTCTTTAGTCTCACTTCTAAGACAACCTTATTGGTTCACCCTTCTTTTGGTAGTTCTGACTATGATACTGTATAGAACTCTTCCACCAAAGCGATGACAGAGGAAGGGTGAGAATACAGGGGATAGGAAAAGGCACATGTTCCTTTCCTTTCCCTATGGATTCCAGCTGTCATGGTTTATGCATCCAGGCCACACACACAAAAAAGTGTTGGTGCAGGGTATTTATATCTTGTCATCAGTACAAAGAGCCCAGGGCGCACATGTTTCATTCCTGACAACTCAGTTTTATCCTCTCAACCACCTTTGAGGAAGGTTATACCAGGAGATAGTAAGGAATCCAAGCTGACTTGCTTAGCTTCATAGCTGAGTAGGAATTTGAACTTGAGTCTCCTATGACCCAATCTGACACTTTAGAGGCACTTTTATATAGAATGGTGACTAGGATCAGAGAAATGTGGGTTCAGATGTCAGCCATACAGTTTACTCAGTGGCCTTGGGCAGAGTTTTCCAACCTAAAACCAAACTTCATAGGGCCCTGTTGAAAATGGAAACAAAATGTGTGAGCTACTGGGAAGAAGTGAATGGAGCCAATATGATGGCCTTACTTGAAAGACTTCATAGAGAAAATAGAATGATAAATCTAAGCCAAAGTCTTGTGCACTTTATGCATTCTTCTCCATTTCCAAGGAAGCTCTTACTCAGCATAGTCTCATAACCAAATTTTTTGGGAATATTTTTGACTTCCCCCACCAATTCCCCATATTGGCTTGCATATTTTTTTAAAAATGATTTATCAGTATTACCTCTTTGTAGCCAATTGAAAGAATCAGTGCGTTACACAATGAGATTGTGGAATCTCATTCTCTGGATGTCTTTTTAAAAAGTTATCTGATGGGGAAAATTAGCTGGAGATTGTGCTTTTAGCTCAATGGCACATGAGGCCTTTTCCAACTCTATGATTCTGTGACTCTGCAGTCCTCCACATGACTGCCTAAAAATAAGCCCCTGACTGAAGTGCATGTGTCGGATTGCACTTAGTCCCTTGGATAAGAGTAATTTGAATATGAAGGCTGTGTTCCTAGTTTTATGGCACTACGGTATTCCTAATGTTTTGGGGTGTTTTCCCCTCAGTTCTGCCTCCTGTTCTGGTGCCCCGGCATACTGAAATTCTGACTGAACTTCCGCCACTTGATGACTATACTCATTCCATTCCCGAAAACACCAACTTTCCAGCAGGAATTGAACCACAGAGCAATTACATACCAGGTAAGGCAAACTTCTGTAAAAATGGTATTGTGCTGTTAGAAGGATTGATGGTAATTTAGTACAATGTGCCAGAGAAAACCAAACAACATGAGAAATAGGCATGCCTTCCCAACACTTTGATTTTTTTTCGCAGCAGTTGCTAAGGATGGAAATACTTGTGAGTATTCAGCTATCAGGAGAATCTCTGTTGGTGGAACCAGTCCTAATTTTGACCCATCAATGGAGTTCTGGAAATTGACTTAATTCTTGGCTGTTGATCATCTTTTAACAGCTTGGGTTTGGAACTCGAGGCAGAGTTTGCTCAGACTTTCCCCCCCACTAGATATTAAATAAATAAGCAATAAACCGGTATTAAATTCTGCTTGCCAATTTTATTTTCCAACTCTGAGTTCAGAATACTTTAAAGATCAGTTCTTCATAGGCAGCTTCCTTCCTTTTAACAACAACAATAACAATAACAACAACTTTATTTTTATACCTCGCCACCATCTCCCCAAAGGGACTTGAGGCAGCTTACAAGGGGACAAGCCCAAAAATACAGATTTTAAAACAAACACAGTAACATAAAATAAAATCAACAACCTCAGGAAAACATTACAATCACAATACACATTTTAAAAACAGAACAATGGCTGAAAGATTAAGTGCTGAGTGTGGAAGGATCAGGAAATGGGCAATCTTTCCTAGATAGAGCCCAGGGAAAGTGCAAGGTGGGCAAAACATGGGCAAAGTGGACCCTTCTTGTTGTGATGGTGAAAGCCCAGGCCGAAATCTCAGGCATTCTGCGTTGTGACACCAGTGTGTCAGATTTGACGATGCACACCCATTTGAACTCTTTTTTTGGAAGATTTGTGAAACATCATCTTTGAACAAACATTTAATTAGCATATTTATATGTGCCTCTAATTATGTTTAGATTTATCTATTGTGATTTGATTTTGTGATGCTTCAATATTATGATTAATAGATCTTCTTTGTTTACTTAAAAGTTTCATATATAGATTACCTGACAGCTATTCAGAATATACAAACTATGAAACTAAAGGCATGCATCCTAAATATGATACGGCCCAGTAGGATTTTTCTCCCTTGGTTAACTGCTTGTTAGACAGTATTGCATACCAAGTGACCTACAAAAACAAACTCACAAGGTTTCCATGCATGAATCCCTAGTCCCAGATGCTTCCATTGGTTAAGGTGACTGGTGTTTGTCATGGAATAAAAATAGCATTTTAGAAAGTAGTTGGTTCCCATTGGTCTGGTATCATCCTGTAAGTGTTCATTAAATAGAACTTCTGTGTCCTTTGATTGTATACAATGCTGCAAAAATCCTATGTTTGAAAGCCTTGTAAACAACTTTTCACTCTTGGCAGAAACACCTCCACCCGGCTACATCAGTGAAGATGGAGAAACAAGTGACCAGCAGCTGAACCAAAGTATGGATACAGGTAATAATCTGACCCTTTACTAGCTTAAATCCCAGGACAGTTGAAGTTTGGAAAACATAATTATCATTTTCTGATATATATTTTTTTACTAACAAAAAGATTAAATTTGTTTATTTTGAACATGTTGTTGCAGCTTTCCATATCTCATAGTAGGGAATGAGCATTACAGCAGAACTGTTACAGTAAATGTGTTTGGTTTTTTTGGAAGCTCAAGTCTTAGAATTTGACGTAGGTCTAAATTATGTTGTGTGCAGATCAAAGGGCAGTTCTTTGTAATTTTTACTAGTGGCTTATATGATGAGATAGCAAAGGTCCATTTTCATTGTCTCTTCAGTGGAATTCTATATATGCCCAGTGCGGATTTCGCAACCTTGGTTTTTGTTTTACTATTCCTGATAAGAGTAGGGTTGTATTTTAAGCCAAACTGAGTTACTCTTGTTCTCATAATTGGCAGCAGCCTTGCTGCCTCTCCTTTTTCTTCCTCTTAGTGCATAAATGTCTATGTTTCTCAGTCTTAATAATAATAATAATAATAATAATTATTATTATTATTATTATTATTATTATTATTATTATTATTTCTTACCTACCTCTCCTCACAGCTTATAATGTATGTGGCACTCCTGTAACTGCTTGACTGCTGGAATCTTCAAAAGGCAAAAAGCAAAGTCTGGCTCACTTTCCAAAGTATATATGTATATAGTTAGTAACATTGAAATATATGTTTGTAAAAACTAGCCTCAGGATCTGAGTGATGTAGCTCAGCAACCAAATGTAATGTCATAAACATATAGAGGAAGGTATCTGTCTGCAATTTGTCTGAATTACTGAAGTGAGTTCGGTGGTAAAGTACCCTTCTTGGTTCATTCCGCAGGATCCCCAGCAGAGCTGTCTCCCAGTACGCTCTCTCCAGTCAATCACAGCTTAGGTAAGCTATAATGCTTTGTTCTCTGTGCTTGGATTACATTACAGACAATGGGGTGGGGACTGTGTGTTTCTTTTGGTGTTGTTGGAGTCCTTATATCCCTTGTCAGCATGTCCAGTGATGATAAAATAGGAGTAGTAGTACAAGAAAGTCCTTTTAACACAGGCAACAATCTCAAAGTAAGGGAGGCCCCCTTCCCAGTATTATATACAAGAAGTGGCCGAGGATATAAGTGCTAAAGCACAGGAAGGGAGTTGCAGTAGGTGATGTTTCACATGCCCTGGGAAGATGGTGCCTGTGTAATGTTTGGTTTATAAATGATAAAGTGGGGGCTGGTAGTCCTATTCCAGCCCTTATCTGAACAGTAAATGTCTTTTTTGTGTAACTTCAGTCCTACAAGAAAGTGGCAGTGACTTGCCACTTTCTTGTGGAAATGGAGGAATGTATGACCCTGTTTCAATGCAGGATATATGCTTGATTTTACTGTGGTTAATAGCGAGTTTGAAATGAACTACTTCCAGCAGAATTTATTATATGGTTGCCTGGGAGGACCTAGAAAATTCCTTGAGAGGATTCCTCTTTGGAAATTTTCTTGGACCTCCAGGATGACTCTATGGGTAAACTCTGGGGGAAGCACAGCATGGGACCTAGAAAATTTCTAGAGGGGACATATTTTGTCAGATATGGATGGGGGAAATTGCAGGTACTGGTCCCATGGGTACAGCACTGTGTTGTAATCTGTCTGTTGCATAAATGCACAAAGAGAGAATTGTCTGATCTGACTTGTTGGCCTATTTGCAGGGAAGTGAATGAGAATGGCTGAAGAATCAACCTATATTAATTGTCTTGTTAATGCCTTGTATTCAGTGTTAGCAGTTACATTGCCAAACCTGTGTTCAAAGAATTCCCTGAAAACTAAACCTGTTTAAGTACACATAAACAACTTCATTTATCATTTTACACTCGTGCTTTTTGGCCCTTGTCACTGTTTGTAAAAGGGAGCCTTTTAAACCTGAGCCTGGTAACTTACATGGCAATTGCATTACATATAAACACTTTGCTTATAAGAAAGATGTGCTGTTGAGGTGGCTGAAGAGAAAATGTCACAAAGAGTGTGTTCTAATGGTACAAGATGTACCGTACTGAATATCAATTAGCCAGACAAACTGTGCATTCTATTCAAGGGTGTGTCTTCAGTTCATATTAAAGGACTTGCAAGAGATTTGGGAGAAATGTTGATAAAGAGCTGAAAAAGAGAGTGTATAGTTTTTGAAGACGTTATCTTGTGTATTGTCTATTTAGACAGCAGTCATGTATAAACTTTTTAAAAGAATGAAGAAGACCGCATCATTAATCTGTACCTAGTGTTGTTTGAGCACAATTTAAGACAAGAACCTGACAATCTACAGGTTGAAGCCATGACTAGCTGACTATTGCCAAAGAGTAAGAAGTTTGGATCATGTTAACAAAATAATTATTTCTCTCTTCCCTTCAGACTTGCAGCCAGTTACCTATTCAGAGCCTGCGTTTTGGTGTTCAATAGCGTATTATGAATTAAATCAGAGAGTGGGAGAAACCTTCCATGCGTCGCAGCCTTCGCTCACCGTAGATGGCTTTACGGATCCATCAAACTCTGAAAGATTCTGCCTAGGTTTGCTGTCCAACGTTAATAGAAATGCCACTGTGGAAATGACAAGACGGCACATAGGTATAGACTCACAGCCTCACGATCATTTACTAACCTTCCGTATTATACCTTGACTTGTGTTTTGCATCTTTGGCTTTATAAAGGGCATGTCATCCAGCTTGGCAATGCCCTCCAAAAAGAAAACTTAATTCAGTAGCAGATAGAATATTAACTAGAGGAATACAAGCATCCTAATTATAGATTAAGAACAGATAAGTAGAGCATGCCTTAACAATGCTATTTTCTGCATGAATCTGTGGGTTGGATCTAGTAAATTTTAAGCTTTAGCATTTTTTTTTCCAGGAAGAGGAGTGCGTCTTTATTACATCGGTGGAGAGGTTTTTGCCGAGTGCCTAAGTGATAGTGCAATCTTCGTCCAGAGCCCCAATTGTAATCAGAGATATGGCTGGCATCCTGCAACTGTATGCAAAATCCCACCAGGTAAGATGCATATAGCGAAAACAATTACAGTCCAGCATATTTACACTCCCTCCCCCCCTCCTTGCTGCAGTTTCTGGGAGAAATCTCTTGAGGATAAGAGGGAATGGGACCACTTCACATGTTCACTGTAACTGCAGTAATAACCATCAATGACCCCTGACCATATTTTTTTTAGGCTGCAATCTGAAGATCTTTAATAACCAGGAATTTGCTGCTCTTCTGGCTCAGTCGGTCAATCAGGGCTTTGAAGCAGTGTATCAATTAACTCGAATGTGTACCATAAGGATGAGCTTTGTTAAAGGATGGGGAGCTGAATACAGGTACTGCATCCTTTTTTTTCCTCCTCTGGTTTGCATAGCTGTCCTGCTTCCAAACTACACAAGTCCCACATGCAGTTAATCAGCAAAATGTAGTCAAATGTTTAGCCCCCTTTTGGGAAAAAACTACAAAACTCCCTGGCTGTAGGTTGCTTCAAAGCATTCTGGGAAACCTAAGGACTCTGTGGAAGCTCATTGGGATTCCTTAGAGATAAGGTGATTAGTGTCAGAGAAGTTTTGAGGAACTCTTGGTTGCATTGTTGAACATGGAAAGACTCGGTACAGGAAGTAGATATTAGAACACATTTTATTATCACTGGTCAACACACATTTTGATGCCACAAATGTTAGCCCTATATTTGACCTGCTGATTCCAAAAATGGCACCAATTTCCCCCCTATCAACTCTAGTTTTTGAGATACAGATGCCATATAAATGATTTTGATATGTGAAGTGGCAATCTGGGCAGGTGAATCGACGTCTGCTTTGCCATTGTAATATTTCAGAGGGAGGGAGCATGGTTTTGGCACCTTCGGAATTTGGGCAATGCTGAGGCCAAAGAGGAGCCAGGAGAATGTTTATGAAAACATTAACCTCTTCCTGAGCTTGACCAAGAAGCAAATTCCAGCTATTGTTTCACATTAAGAAATGGCCCCAAGGTGAATGCGAAAAAATCCAAAAGTAAATGTGAAAAAATCCAAATGTTCCATGAAATAATCAGGAAGGAAATGGATGAGCTATTGGGGATAAATATAGAATGGAACAAGACTCATTTTTTCACCCAGAAATTGGAAAGTAAAGGGGAATATAAAGAAAGTGAGGAAATAATGAAACACATGATAGAGGCAATCAAAGCCTCAGTGGCCCTGGGCTGAAAGGGCCACAACAAATGGGATATAAAAACTTGGTATAAATATCTAGCCGATTACCTTCTCCAAGATTATATTAGCGAAAGGAAAAGTTACTATACGACGGGTCAAAGCAGAAGGACATGGGAAGCAAAATGGAAGGATCTCATTTACAGAATAAAGGGGAAAGATAAATATACGGTGTTAAATAAGACTATTCTCATGACTGAGCAATTGTAATAAACACTGCAAAAGTACTTAACTGTTCCTGGGCTGGGGGGGGGGAGGGGGCTGTGGTGGTGGTGGTGGATTGAGGAGAATACTGGTATTTTGAATGTTAATTTCAAATACTGTATGTTTCTATGTATTATACAATAAATAATAATAATAATAATAATAATAATAAAGAGAAATGGCCCCAAGGTATGGCTTCAGACAAAGGAGACTTTTGGATCATTGAAATATCCTTTGTCTGTCTGTCTTAAAAAAGGACATAATCATGCTTAGACACCAAAAGCCAACACTTATATCTGAAATATTATTTATAATTGATACGTATATGTTCTTACAGTTTTACAATATTGTGTTTATTGTTATTGTTTGAATCTGGCATTTAATTGCTGCCGTAGTTTGTAAGCCGCCCTGAGACCCCCTTCGGGGTGAGATCGGCAGGGTATAAGTACAGTAAATCAATCAATCAATAAAATATACCAGTTGCCGCCTGCTCACCCATTGAAAACCATATTTAAGAAATTAGACTGATGCATTCGATCCAATGAAATTTTCTGAATCAGCACCCTAAATAACCCCAGGAACAGGACCAAAAACCAAGACACCCAATATTTTTTTCATTGGGCTGTGTTACTTATGATTAAATTGGGTTTGACAATCAATCAGTTCTTCATAACTGAAGGGATAGTTGTGCCATCTTTAGTTATGTTGGCATAGAAAGGGCTTCCTGTTGATACAAGTTTGAGCACACTAGGAATTTGTTGAAATTGATATCTGACAGAAATGTTGACCTATCTCACACCTTATTCTCCTCCTCACTGCCAGATGTGACTTTCACACAATATAACTTCTTGTCCCTGCAAATAATCTCAGTAGTCAAGGTATCCTTAGTATCAGATATGTGTTGTTTTAGTTCTTTACTCAGCTCCTTAAAATATATCTAGTAATGGTATAGAATTTAGTGGCTGCTTTTTAGAGATGAGCAAAACTTGAATCTTTCACTTAGACCATTATTTCACCCACCTTTTTGTGTGTCTCTGTTTATAGCATTGTAGTCATAGCTGACACAATGAAGTTGCTTTCTTGTACCTAGATAAGTTTGCTTTTGATAGTTCAGTGTGAACAGCCTATGCTGATATTGTCAAGGCCAAGGTAATCAGCAGGCACAAAAAAGGAGAAGAGGGGGAGGATTTTGCCTCAAACAGGTTCCTGTGAAAGAACAAAATTCAGTTTGGCCTCCAGTCATGTTGAATGATACCTCTTGAAAACATCTTTTGATTGTATCAAAATGGTACCATAGCCAGAAAAAAACTTGAAATATGATTTTTCTATGCTGTGAGGGCATCACTGTGTGGAAGTTTCCGAACAGCAAGAGAGAGTGGGGATAGATTTGTATATACTCTTACTGTTTTGCTGTAAAATGGAGCTACTGTTCTATTGTTTTGTTCCAAGAGGTTTTTATTCTCCTTCAAAAATTGCAAGTAAAAATCCAGTTTTTGTTGTGTCTAACCCCATATTAAAATAATTTCTCATGCAACCCCATTGGTTTTCACCGGTACAGAGGAAATACAATTCAGTTGCTTTGACATTTACAATATTTTCAGGCATCCCACCCCTTACTACCAATCTTTTACAGTCCTTTTTCACATCTCTAATTCAGGTCACTTCTCCTGAAAAAAAAGTCCTATATTGTCAAAAGGAAGGCCTTTGCAGATCAAAATAAGGACACAAAACACCTGAAATATGGCCAAATGGCCATAGCACCCACTCTACCCCATCTCACCCCCAAATCTTAGAGGAAACTAATAGCCATTGGAGCAAATATTTCACAATTCAAATGTGGTTTGTTTTTGTTTTTTTGAAAAAATTGTTTTCAAACTGTAGATGGCTGACAACATGGGTATGGAGAGCTGGCTATATGTGTTTGACATTGGAACCTACATATCTGTGACTGAAAGCCCCTGTGAATTGTTTCTGATTATCAGCTGAGATATGAAAAAAAAAAAAGAGGCAATGAAAGTATCCCCTTTAGCAATGGATCTGGTTGCTGGGCCATCTTGGGCTAAAATTATCAGTGTTGGTTCACCACCTTTCTCCATCTTCTCAAAATGGTCCTGAAGCAGACAAGTTGCTGAGCAGTGATTGATCATTCGTGGCTTGTGTGTACTAACCTTTCATGGTGCATTTCCTTCTTCTCTCCTTTCTCAGGCGGCAGACGGTAACAAGCACTCCTTGTTGGATTGAGCTCCATCTGAACGGTCCTCTACAGTGGCTGGACAAAGTATTGACTCAGATGGGCTCCCCGTCAGTGCGCTGCTCCAGCATGTCGTAAAGCTCCTTCTCATTACCTGTGGACTTAAATACGAAGTCCAGGCAACAGACTTAAACCTAACAGCTTGTCTGTCGTAGTAACTCGTGTGTGGTCTCCATGAACTGTTTCAATCCAAAAACGTTCTGTGAGAGAGAGAAAAGAGAGAGGGAAAAGGAGAGAGAGAGAGCGAGAGAAAGCACTTGAGGGTCTCGTCAATTTTAAAGCACCTTGTGGATTTTGTTTCCTATACTCTGATACTAGATGAAACGTTAGTGTATAGAAGCACCTTCTTCTGAAGGAGGGAGGGACATTTTAAAGACTTTAATGGTGTTTTTATTGGGTATATATAAATTGAGTGTCCTAAAGGTTTATCAATAACATGGACAGTTGGATTATTGTCATAACTCCCTCCACCCCTGCCAATATGGCACCATCCTGCTGTTCTGAGTTTTAATTCCAGTCGATAGATAAGCAGGGCTCTTTGACTTAGGCAGCCATCTCATAGAAAGAAGTCCCAAGTTCTTGCTTCTCCATATTTTTTTATATTTTTATATATAAATATATATACAGGCTTTCCGCTGCCCTATAACAGACTTCTATTGCAGACCCCCCCCCCCCCCCCCCAGTACACACGTGATTCCAAGTGTGCTAAGTTGCGCCTTAAATCCCCTTTCATGGAAAGGAAACAGTTACCTGGGTTTTAACTCTGGAAAACCATGGATGTTGAGCAGGCTTAAATGTGCTTGAAATAAATGATATACATTGGAACCTTTCCCGGCCTGTGCCACTACCAGATCATTGCTTGGTGAAGTTATTTTCCTCCTTTGCTCGTCCAGGGTGTGGCATCTCTTACCTGCAATGGGTGATCCTGTGGCCCGCCTTGCACCTTGATTTTTAAAAATAGGAGGTCGAGGTAGGGAGGTATTTCCCAGTGGGGACATACACAGTTGTAATATTGCTTGGTCTCTTAAAAGCTGTTAAGCAATCAGGGACAGATGGTGGGAGGATGCATTCTCCTGACTCCCAGGCCCTTGTTGTGGTACACAGTTCTAGCATATGGTTCAGCACATTTGCTGCCATGCTACTGGGTTTGTAATTTGGGGAGGCATGAGAGTCCCTTAAGCTGCAGATGCATGGGATATTGCAACGGCAGTTAAAAGTGGGGTATAGCATTATAATTGTGCATAAAGAGCCCCTTGTCTCCACAGATACAAATGTCCACCTTTGCCATGGCAAAGGTCATACTGTCCTTATTAAAACTGTGGTACCATTTAAAGGGGTCTGGACAGCCCTAGACATTGCTAACAATGCCATAGTGGTGACTCAACCGAAGCTAGGGAAGATTCATACCTAGGTAGAAGGAATGGGTGCCTCATTCCATTCTTTTTAATTCTCAGTGCCAGCCCTGTGTCAGAAGTGCCACAGAATCTGCATGTGTCTGTCAAAAATGTGTAGGTAGGCACATTGGAGAAACATTCCTGCCCTCCTCTCAGTATAGGTGAAACAACTGTAAAATACTGAAAACATATTTGCGTCTTGAAACCTTAGACTAGGCATGGGCCTACCTGGAGGGCCAACGTTTGCCCAAGCCTGCCTTAGACAAGACAAACCTTCAGTTATTTCTGTAGCAGGGATGAGACTTGTTAGCTTAATGCTGATGGATTGATAGGCCAAGTAAACTCTTTTTTGTAGTTCCCCCTTCTTCTTTCATCCTCTGCTACCTACTGCAGCAGGACTCTGGGCATGCCATACAGCAGTTAGGGAGGAGTTTACAAGATCTTGAAAAAGTTGAGAAAGAGGCTTTATTGTGTTTATCTTTCATTCCCTATCGATAAAGGTTCCTTGGAGGGATACATACATCACAAGCTGAAAACCAACATTTCTGAAAGCCTCCCCTCACCCCCAATGAACTGTGAAAAATGACTTCTAAATAGTTTTAAACCTGAAAAGGTTTGATTTAAGTGAAGGCTTGAAGGGCTGATCAGGTCCGCTTCCTATGGTTTAGACCTGAGAATCCATCCATCCATCCTAGATGGAAGCGTTGTTTCTAGAGATTACTTGGGCTGGGTGTGATCAGCAAAAGGCAGACTCTGTAGTACATGTTATTGTGAACCCTGGGACACTACATTGGACCTTGCTTTCAAACGTATTTTGAATTATATTCTACACTTAAGTCTGGGTTGGGTAAGGGTTGGGAAACTGTATAGAAGGGTTCTTACGACTTGAAAAGTATACATCTTACTAACAATCTTGTGATCTAGCTGTCTGTCATTCTCTTGATGTTGTGGCAGTAGCGGGATTGCGTCTTGTCTGTTTTCTTTCCTTCTCTCCCTGCCCCAATGGTTCATTTTCACTAGTACTGTACTTTGTAAGTACACCAACGACAACTTCAGCTTTGAGAACAAACGTGGCCAGTGTTAAACTTTGTAATCAGCTGACTGAATTGATGATAGCAATGGATATTTTTATGCCATAAAGAAAAAATAGGGCACAGGAGCAATACCAAAAATCAAGCCTGGGGGTGGGGGCTCAAAATGGGTCAAGCAGTTTAAAAGAATTGGAAAAGCAGTTACCAATTTGTGTAGTTTTACCAGTAGCCTAATGTATTGGTAGAACTTGTGAACCTAAGAGATAAGCTTTCATGCGTGTTGCATTTGCCTAATATGTGAATACACTAATAAAGTTTTAATTCTCACTCCTGTTTGCTTGAGTGGTTATGCTCTGGAGGCATACAATGTTTTTTGATCTTGAAGCACTGTTCTGATATCAGATGAGGATGATGATGATTTATTTCTAGATTGCCCTCTCTCTCAAAAGGGACTCAGGGTTGTTTACAGACACAAAACAAAAGGCAAACATTCAATGCCTCAAATGAATACAAACACATCAAAATAATACAAGACAATGCACAAGATAGTCTTCCATCACTGAATAGCCACCTTTGTAAGAACTCTCTCTCTCTCTGCCCATCTCATGCCAAAATGCTTGTGAAATGGAGAGGAATTTGAAAAGAGGATTTTTTTTGCAGTTACAAAAGTTTTAATGGTTGTGAGTAACGTAAGTAAGTTATCATAAAGACCTTGTCACATCACTCTGTCCAGACAGTACCTTTATCCCAGGAGTCCCTGGAGCAAACAGGGTGGCCAGGTGCTGTTCCCTGTAAATGCAGAAGCAATCGCTACGAATGGCAAAAAATGTGAGATTTTCAGGTGTGGGAATATCCCAGTTCTGAGCTGAAAAGCTGCATCTTCAAATGTCTATATGTCCTTGCACTTTGAAATCATGGGATTTTTTTTATCTGGGTTTGTTCCCAGGTTTTAGATGTTTGTTCCCGATTGGTTGATTCCTTAAAAAAAGGTGACAGTTGAGTAAAATGTGAAAATATAGCTTGTGTGCCATAAACTTCATGAAATGTGTGGAAGGCACATTTTCTCTGGCCAGGACAAAGTTGTGCCCCCCTAGTCAATGTTGTACATCTTTTCACAATAAGAGCAATCAAGAACAGACATGTATAACCCAGGAACAACACCATTTCTGCACAGATCGCCCTGCATCTTATATAACCTAAACTGAACTTATACAATGATTCACATGTTTGAATCTTAATTAAAAAAAAAAAACAACCCAAAATTTCTAGAAGTCCCATGGCAGCCATCTTGGGGGCTGCAAAATCGCGCAATGAAGCAGCAAGTGTTGATGACAGAGACAGAAATCCAACAGGTCTATATGTGGACCTCTTCTGATGTGCCAGGATTTTTGCTCCACAATTTGTTTCTGTCTGGAAGCACCCTAAATGTAACTCCTGGCAAGTTGTAATACTATACTTTTCTATGGTGTAACTTACTACAAAACTGAGCCCAAATTTCTGTCCTTTACTCTCATGGCAATATGTTTGAACACACACTCACCAAGCAAATTATTTTGGAACTCATGGTTATTTATGGTGCTTTTCATTATCTCAACTTATTACTGCCCTGCACACAGTATTTTCCTGCCCTTTAGTCTTTTCAAACAGTTAAAACGTTTAAAAAAACCATTGTCAATTGATCACATGCTTCATGTTCAGTCACAGTCATCAATTTAATGTGATGAATTTTTTGTTTATCCATATTATGTGATAATTTGGGTTAAAAATGAAACCATCATATGGATAAAGTTTTGCTAGTACAAATGAGCCTGATATTCAGAGAGAGGATATTTTCTGGAACATACTGTAGAAATAGAAAACTGAGCAATAGCAAAATGTATTGAAATGGATGACTTCCACCAGAAGTTACCATAAAGTCACCACAAGGACCTAGAAAAATGGCTAAAGATAACATATTTTGTCAAATGAGAACAGATGAAACTATGGATATTGAGCCCAGAGTCGTATTGTACTATTGAAATTCTCCAGGGAGGGAATTTATTTTTGTGTCTACTTTTATTTCCATCCATATTAAGGGGAATTGTGTAATCCTGTTGATCTGTAGCCAGTGTCTATATTTATACCTTTATCAGAGGAGCCTTTATAGCCAACTTGTCTGGTATAATAACATGCAAACACTGAAATTTGTTCTGATGTCCTTTGCTCATTTATTCCTGTTTTATTCCAAGATGCTCTTCTCCTTGAAATGGTTCAGCTCACTGAACTCAGAGATAAATATAGAGCTTGTTAATTCACAACTCACATAGGCTGGATTAAATTGTCAAGGGAAAAACGTGGAACAACACAACAGAAGAACATCTCTCTTTGCTCACACCTTTTCCTCTTTTGAGTAGGGGGCTGCATTAAATTGGTGGGAATTTTATGTGGCACCATTGGGAAACAGTTTTAAAACTGATGATCATCCAAAGCAAGAGCAGTTTTAAACTGTTGATTTAGTTAACAACCCAGTAAAACTCGCATTTAGCGTGCATTGGCATGCATAATTATCCAAACTTCCTCCAAAATGGATTTGAACGGTGAATAATATTTTGTACATCAAAATGGTTTCTCTGCTAACATGTTTACTTATAAGCAGAATCCTGAGGACAATGCAACTGATTTTTTTAAAGTAAGATTTAGCTAGCTTTATTTGACCAACTGGTTCTTTGACCAGGTCCTTATAAGAAGGTGGAGAGAAACTTTAGAGCACTGCAAAGTGTGAGATGTGAAGAACCATTTGTGTGCCAGGGATTGGTCCCATATTTGTGCCCATTAGCTACATATGCTTATTTCTTTCCTGGTTACTTTCAATTGACCAGGACTTACTCATGGATTGGGGGAAATAATGTCCAAAAATAGGATCAATTCTGAAAAAGAATGAAGCCAATTTACCTTGAAGTTTTGTGAAGGGACAAACTCCTGGCTTGTGCAAAGCTCTTTCCAAATCTAAGTTAAATAAGTGTGCATATGGAGACGGATGATGTTGAAGATGTGATACATGTTCTACCTGTGCTTGCAGGTACCTCCTTACCCCTATCTGAACTGAACCAGACAGCTTCACAGTGGTGCTTCTCCCCAGACAATGGATCACTACTTCAGAGTATTCGACAAGGAGAAATTTAGGATACTACACTCAGAAAAAAATGAAAGGTACAGATTCAGGATGGGTGACTCCTGGCCCAACAACAGTCTGTGAGAAAGAGATCTTGGAGTCTTAGTAGACTACAAGTTGAAATGAGCCAGCAAAATGATGCAGCAACTAGAAAGGCCAATGGGATTTTGTGTGAACAGGAGTATAGTGTTTAGATAAAGGAAAGTAATGGTGCTCCTCTGTTCTACTCACCTGGAGTACTGTGTCCACTTTGGAGCACCACAGTTCCCGAGGGATATTGACAGGTTGAAAGGTGTCCAGAGGATCAAATGTCTGAAACCCATGAATTCCTATGAAGAGCTGCTTAAAGAGCAGGGTATGTTTAGCCTGCAGAAGAGAAAGTTGGGAAGAGTCATGCATGGTTAAGTATTTGAAAGGATGTCATGAGGAAGAGAGAGCAGCCTTGGTTTTTTCTGCCCTGGAGACCAGGACTTGGAGCAGTGGGTCCAAACTACAGGAAAGGAGATTCCATCTGAACATGAGGAAGAACTTCCTGACTGTAAGAGCTGTTCAACAGTGAAACTCTCTGCCTTGGAGTGTGGTGGAAGTTCCTCCCTTGGAGGCTCTAAACAGAGTCTGGATGACTATCTGTGAAGGTGCTTTGTGCTTTTCCTGCATGGCAAGGGATTGGATTAGATGACCCATGCGGTCTCTTCCAACTCTATGATCCTAAGGATGAGGCAACAAGCTACATTTGCAAAATAACACAAGAAGTAAAAGTGAAAATACTTCATTGTTGATCATGGTTGTCTGTGTATGATGTATCTTCAAGTTACTCATGGAATTATGGTGACCCCATGGAGTTCAAAGGGTTTCTTAGGCAAGAAATGCTCAGAGCTGTGTATTACTCCTCTGAAGTAGCACCTGGGATTCCTTGGTAGCCTCCCACTCAAGTAGTAACCAGAGTAGACCTTCCTTAGGTTCCAAAATCTAAAAGTGCCCTTAGGGTATTTAGGAAATGCAGTGACATGATTAACAGTTTCTAATTATGTTCCATAGTTGTCCTTTAAAGACCACTTTTATAGGTTCTTTCACTGAAACTCTTCAAGTTCTTGTTAAATTAACCTTTCCGCACTGCAACAGCAATGGATTCCTGTACTATCTGCTTTTGTTCTGAGATTAAGGCTGTAGATGTGGGCATTTGGGATGGTTCAGATTTTTCTGCTAGTGAATACAGGTTGAGCATCCCTTATCCGGAATTCTTGGAACAAGAAATGTTTGGGATTTTCAAAAGTGATCTTGATTGTCTTCCCGAAGTAGAGTCTTGGTGGTGGATCCATAAGTGATTGTAGAGACCTATTCTGGATTTGCATGGCCTTTCACACTGAGGAATACATTTTCAGATAGAAGGCAGTCCCAACAAGAGTTTTCTTGAGGTACCTTCTTGGCAGCTGTCTCCTTTTCACCTTCTATTCGTTCCTCTTCAAAATCTGCAGCACTGTTGGCAACAGCTGACTTCCAGTTAGATGCTCGAGGGCCAATGCTTTCCAGTTCTCTGTGTTTATTCCTCATTAATTTAGGTTAGCTTTAAGCCCACCTTTAAACCTCTCTTACTGTCCACCAAGATTCCATTTTCCATTTTCTATTTTCCATTTCTTGAGCTGAGAGTAAAGTAACTGTTTTGGGAGATGGTGATTGGGCATTAGGACAACATGGCCAGTCCAGCAATCATCGCTTCAATACTGGTGGCCTTTGCTTCTTCCAGGATGCTGACATTTGTCCGCCTGCCCTCCCAAGCAATTTGCAAGATTTATCGGAGGTAATACTAATGGAATATTTCCAGAAGTCGAGAATGAAATCTGTAGACTGGACACCTTTTGCTGGCGTACAACAGAGTTGGAAGGACAATAGCTTCATAAACAAGCATCTTGGTATCCCTACAAATGCCTCCACCACGCTCTGGGGCAGAGAGTTCCACTGCTGAACGGCTCTCACAGTCAGGAAGTTCTTCCTCATGTTCAGATGGAATCTCCTCTCTTGTAGTTTGAAGCCATTTAATTACTGTATTGATGAATTTAACACCAAAACATTGCAATGTATTGAAACAGCTGTGGATCCGACAGCATTGGATAATACAGAACGTCGGATGAGCAAAGGTTGGATAAGCGAGACTCTACTGTAACTTGGAGATTTCCTG